ATCTGGGCACTGAAGTTGGCTCGCCCTCCTTTAGGGGGGTGGCCAGCCTGTGGTGGCAGAGGGGCTGCTCTGGCACAAGCCACGAAAACCCAGAGAATTCCACTCAGTTTCCTGGAGCCTGTGGTTCCTTCCCCCGGGCCAGCCTGGGAGCAGAGCAGGACAGAGGAGATCGAACAGAACCTGGCTGGGAGACGGCATTCAGGAACAAGGGACACTTGCTGGCAACTCAGCCAGGTCACCTTTCCCTGGGATTGCTGCTTCCACGGGACTAGAGCTGTGCTGCCAGCTCCCCTCTCCGTCTGCAGAGAAGGGCTGGCAGGGATCTCTGCTCCCAGCTGCCAAAGCAATCCTAGAAGGCAAAGCCAAATCCTATTCCAAGCCCCAGCACGCCCTTCTCAACCTCCTGCTTCCTCAGCAGACATTTAAATGCATTTAAAAACAAGAAACACAGAGCAAGGACAATCAGTGTGAAGTACCAAAAACCTTTATTTTTTTTTTCCCCCAAAACCATAACAACATTTGACATTATATTGATTTCCTCATATATTTGTTATTTCTCTACGTTAGGAACCAGATACAGAAAATACAAACACGATCTGTTGAATCAAAGACGGCACAGCATTCCGTTAGAAAAAAAGAAACAAAAAAAACTAGAGGAGCAAGATAAAAATGGTGAAAAATAGTCATTCCCTCCAGCCCAAACTTTCCAAGAATCATCATCAAAATAGAGCAGTGGAAGTAGCTTCTCTTTCTAAACGCACTTCTGCTTTAAGAAAAAAGTTAGATTCATCTTTAGATTTCAAAGTAAAAAAAATGTTAAACTATCTTTTCAAGCAATTTTGGAAGTTTGCATAGACCCATTCCCTTTCCAAAAATATCAGCCATCTCTCTTATAGAATCTGATACAAATTGAGTGCGCGCCTCAGCCGAAGGTCACCGAGCTCAATTCACTTTCAAGAAAATAAAACACCATCTCCCCCTTCTTTTCCCCCTCTCCCCCCACAAAAATATGGGCTCTCTCAAACTCCTTGTGTTTGAGGCAGGTCACGAGGCTCAGCCGCACCTCTCGCTCGGAGCTTCACCCAAATTCCTTTTCATTTCCCAGGTTTCCACGTCCCCCACGGGGCGGGGGCGACTGTGGAGGGCAGTGGGCTTGGATGGCATGGGGTGGGGGGGCTGATGAACACGGCTCTCAGGAGGGGAGTGGGGAGGGAGTTCTACACTCATCACCCACCCCCCCCAGCGAGGAAGTGGCTTTTCAAAGGACAAACAGCTGCGACCAGGCAGTGTTTGTAGGAACCTGTCCCCGGGGACTGGCCTTGTCCACAGGGCGCAGTCACCAGAGCAAGAACTCAGCTAGAGACCAGGTGGGGCAGCAGGGATGGGGCAGGAGGGGCAGAGGGGGGTCTGCAGCCCCCAGGTAAGGCAGTGAGGAGGGGAGGGGACCCCTCGCCAGGAGGGGGTTTATCCGAGGTGCTCTAGCGTACCTGGAGTGAGGTTTTCCCAGAGGATCCCGGCAGCGGTGCAGAGCCCAGCTGCACTGCCACCGGTTTAAAAAGAAAACAGCAACGACAAAATAAATTAAAAAAAAAAAAAAAGTCAACCCCTCCTATTCAGATGAGAATGAAATACCTATTTCTTCAGGTCCCGGCCTGGTTCGGAACCCTCTAAAAACTGAAGCAAATGTTTAAAAGGGCTTGTTAACTTTCTGCAGGGGGCGAAGTGATGTGGCAATGAGGGGGGAGGGAGAAATCACACGCCTGCTGCCCATCACTCCGAGGGTCAGGACAGCATGAGGCCCCTGCTTAAGGTGCTGACCATACAGAAGATGATGGAGGAGCAACATCCTTCTCCCCCTTTTTCCAATCACAATTTCCAATTGAAACCCATCTCCTTCACTAAGTCATGGCTAAGCCTATTCTTTTGGACATTCACTCAGTTTTATATCGGTTTTAAAAAAAGAAAAGTTAGTAAAAAAGTTACATTGAATTTCCTAACACTTTGCAACGGGCTTCCACCAGCTAAAGGTCCAGAAACTGGGAGAGCAGAGCCCACACATTTTGCCTGGCCCCCCAGACTGGAGCAGAGAGCCAGCTCTGCCCTCCAGAGCCAGCCAGGCATGAGCAGCCCTGCTCATCAGCATCAGAGACCCAGGGGATGCAGAGTCTTGCCAATAAGGTCCTTTTACTTGTTTAAGCCACCTCTGAATCCCCTGAGAAGGGGAACAATGTGGGGAAGAACATCCCCCCCTCAGCCCCCCTGAAATAAAATATCAGTGAAACAATAATGCAGTCAAAAAAAACACCAGCCTGCTGGGTTTATATAAAAAAAAAAAATCCATAAACGTCACAACAAAAAAAGAAAAAAAAAAAAGAGAAAAACCCAAAGGAAACTAGCCAGCGGTTTGGGTCTGGAAACTGATTCACTTCTTAAATGTTCAAAGTCCAACAAGGAACAGGCGGCAGTGATGCCACAAGGAAAAAAGTGCTCACGAGACGCAGCTTCCCGAGGCAGCAGAGAGTTTGTGGGACCAGTGACCCCATGGCCACCACCACCTCGGATGCCCATGGCCAGCCAGGGACCACCGGGCATTGCTCATGCAGCAGGAGCACTGCGTGGGATCTAGAAATAGGAACAGACTGCTCTTCCTCCCTCGGGGTCTGCTCTGGGTGCTCCAGCCCTTGTCAGGCTGGATGACCAGGACTGCTTTCTCATCCAGAATCAGGGGTAGGAGAGCTAAAAAGCCACATAAAGACCAGGATCTGTGGAGTCAATAATAACACAGAGACAAGGAAGAGATATCCTATGAGACACAGCCATCAAAAATGCAAGCAGTGATGTGCCAAGCCAGGGGAAGAGAAGCCAAAGATGTGCCCCAGGTTGGCCACAGCGACGCGATGGAGCAGGTTATGCCTCTGCCAGCCTGGGGAGATGAGACCAGCTTTCCAAAAAGCTCAACTGCTTCTCCTCTTGCTCTGCTGGGAAGAGATTCCTCCCTCTGCCTCACTGGGGATTTCGTGACAGGCCGAGCTGCCAGTGTCTCGGAGCAGCTGATTCCTGCCAGTGGAGGCCAGAAGAATGCCCTGGGATCCCAACTGCTCTGACAGTGACTGTCATTGTTTTTCATGGGAACAGAAGCAAAGCAGCAGAAGTGAGCTGTGTTTTGGCCCCTTTCCTGGCTTATGTTTGCTCCTTTCAAGTCCCAGTTGGATCTGATTTCCCTGAGGGTCTTCACTGGCCCCCGGGGAGCAGCAGGGGCTCTGTGCTGACCCTCAGCTCTGCACAGCCATCCACAGACAGGGCAGGAACACCCACTGCTGTCTGAGCCTCCTGCCCTCACCCTGACCTGAGCAGAGGGTCAGGCCAGGCCTGGTTTTCTGGCAGAGCCCCAGGGAGAGAAAAAAGCAAGCAGTTCTCTCCTTCCTGCAGACACGCAGCACCCCAGGAACAGGGCAGGATGCTCAGCAGTCTGCTGGCAAGTGCCAAACCTACCCTGGCTGAATGAAGAAGGGCTCACCACTAAAAAACACCAGCAAGTGTGAAAGAGCTTTTGTTCTAAACAGACTCAAGATTCAACACTTTTTCCCTACATTAAAGCAAACCAAGGTGTTGGCTGTACCCTCTTCTTACCCTAGTCCAAATTAACTTCCCTTTGAAGGGAAAGGGTGAAAAAGATGCATATCCTATATGTGGTCTGACCAAATACAGAAAGAAACCTCTTAACTCGAAGAGAGAAACTATCAAAACAGACTAAGCGGCTGTATAGCCTTGCCACACTGCTGAGCACCCATGCACTCCCCATGCAGCATCCTTAACTAGAAGGGTGAAAAAAAATGATAAATCAAGGCCCTTTCATTCCTTGTTTCTCATTCTGCCAAATTCCCTTT